ACTGCCATGGCCGCCCTGGACCAGCCCACAGAGGCTCAGCCGCCGTCGCCGCGGCCCGCCAGCCCCTGCCGCACACCAGGTATTGGGCACTGCAGGCCGCGCGGGTGCGTGCCGAGTGGCAGGCTCCGGAAGCCTGCCTGGTGGGCTCAGCTCAGGGCCCGGCCAGGGGGAAGGTGGCCTTGGTGACGTCGCATCCCCCACAGCACTGATAGCCGAGCCCCAGCCCTCAGTGGGCAGCGCGGACACATGCCTCTCCGGTGTGTTTGTTGGGGCAAGGCCTGGAGACACATGGGCCTCCGGCCTCCGGCCTCTGTCCTGTCAGGGGGTGTTGGTGGGCCCCCCTGCCTGTGCCCGCTGCCCTGCCCAGCACGGTCCCCTCTCCGCCCCAGAGCCGGACAATGACGCCTGCGCACGTAGCTCCTCTCGGCCCTGCAGCCCCGTCCACCTCCACGAGGCCCACGCCAAGCTGTCCAGCAGCCCTCCTCGCGCCAGCCCTGTGAGGATGGGCCCCTCGTACGTGCTCAAGAAAGGTTCGGAGGGGCGGTGGGAGGCCAGGGCTGCTGGGGCTGGGAGTGGGAGTCAGGCCGCGGCTGCTGTTTCTGGGCTCGTTGCCGGGGAGGGCTGAGTGCGCCTCACATGGTGTGTCTCTGGGCCCCGGGACAGGAGTGGGGGCAGCCTCGTGTGTGGACAAGGGTGCTGAGGTGTGAGGAGGTGAGCTGCAGTGCCCACTCCTGCCCCCGAGAGCAGGGACCTGTTGGGCCTAGTCCTGTGCCATGTCCCCAGCCCAGGTGCTGAGCACCGGCAGCCGGCGGCGCAAGGAACAGCACTACCGCAGCGTCATCTCGGACATCTTCGACGGCTCCATCCTCAGCCTCGTGCAGTGTCTCACCTGTGACCGGGTGGGTGCCCGGGGCTGTAGAGGGCTGGACGGGTCCTTACTTGGGTCCTTGGGGTCTTTGCTCTGGCTGAGGTGGGGTAGGGTCTCCACCTGGTGCTCCCTGCCTTCAAGAGAGGGCCCTGGGTTTGGACTTTCATGTCCAGGGCCTGGGAGTGGGCTCAGACCTGTCACCTGCCAGCAGGGTATCAGCAGGTGGGTGTCAGGCTGACCTTCCACTGCACAGGTGTCCACCACTGTGGAGACATTCCAGGACCTGTCGCTGCCCATTCCCGGCAAGGAGGACCTGGCCAAGCTGCACTCGGCCATCTACCAAAATGTGCCAGCCAAGCCGGGCGCCTGCGGGGACAGCTATGCCGCCCAGGGCTGGCTGGCCTTCATCGTGGAATACATCCGCCGGTATGCTGCCCTGCCCCCCCGGGGCTGTAGGCAGGGCCTGGTCTAGCTTTTCTGGTGGGAGACAGGCTCTGCAGCAACATGGGGACATCCACAGGGACCAGGGCAGGGGCTGGCAGGGAGCTAGGCCAAAGGGTGTGCGGGGGACCGCAGGTGGGGGTGAGATGTGCCCATGGAGCTAGAGGGCAGGGGACAGTGGGGAGGTGACCAGGCGGGCTGAGCCCTCCCTGCGGCCGCAATGCCTGCTCCGCCATGGCCCCTCAGGGGAGGGAGGCAAGGCTTTGGGGGCAGAGGAGACCCCTCATCCAAGGATGTGGGGCCGGCTCCTGGCCTGTGCCCCCAGCCACCATGCCAAGCCCCTCTCTGGGCCTTCGGGTCCTGGGGCTCTGACCTGCAGACCTCAGCTGAAACCCCTGAGGCTTGCTCTTGCCCAGGGTCTGGCAGCTGTCTCCTGTCTCTGTAGGTTTGTGGTCTCCTGTACCCCCAGCTGGTTTTGGGGGCCGGTCGTCACCCTGGAAGACTGCCTTGCTGCCTTTTTTGCTGCTGATGAACTGAAGGGTGAGCAGCCTGGTGGGCGGGGGTCGTGTGCCAGCGTGCAGCCCAGGGCTCATGGGACACACAGCCTCGCTTTGCTGCCAAAGTCAAACCTGTAGGATTCCCAGCCCGCCCCAACATGCCTGCAGTGGCATGTTCTCCTAGCCCACCTCCTGTTTTTATTTTTTACCAGTTTGTTGAGCAAAAATGATACTGTGTTTTAGTGCGCATCTCCTTGACTACTGATGAGTCCGAACATCTTCTGTTAAGTGTATTGAGTGTCGTTTGTTATTTCAGATTTTCCCCTTTTTGTCTTTTTCCTGCCTTTCTTGTGACCATTTGGTGTCTTCCGTTTTAAAATAATTGACAGGACATGTGTACTTGGCAGAGAGAGGGGAAGAGAGCGCCCCAGTAGGGTGTGGCCACGCCACAGTCCCTTCTCCTCAGGATTTTGGGCACACGCACACTCACGCCCCACATGTTCTTGCAGCAGCTGGGACCAGGATTTGAACCATGGTCAGCTGTGTGGGATCTGGCTCTCTTAACCAGGCTATGGGCTCAGCTAAGATGCTGGCTATTTAGCATCTTAACCTTTGGCAAACTTTTTTTTTGTAAAATACATTTAACATGAAATGTACCACCACAACCCTCTTTAATGCGCTTTGAATATAAAGTGTACAGCTCAGCAGGACTAAGTACACATGTTGTGCGACCGTCACCACCATCCACCTCGAGGACCGTCACTTAACACAGCTGAAACTCTGCAGCTGCCAAACAACTGCTCCTTGTCCTGCCCTCCCTCTGGCCCCCAGCAGCCACCTTCCTCCCTCTGGCCCTATTACGAGTTGGACCACTCCGGGCACCTCCCGTGCGTGGATCATGCAGTACTCGCCCTCTGTGGCTGGCTGCTTTTCCTGAGGTTCATGTGGCGTGTATCAGAACCCCCACCTTCTTAGGCCACGTAGTACCCCACGGTAGGAGTGGGCCGCATCGTGTCCATCAGTGGACACCTGGCTGCTTCCGCGTCTCAGTGATTGTGAGTTATGCTGCTGTGAGCACAGGCGTACAATGCTCTCTTTTCTAACCATTCCGAATATATACCCAGAATTGGAATCGCCAGATCATGTGGTAGTTGTATTTTTAATTGTTTGAGGAGCTGCCATACTATTGGGTCATCGGGAAAGTCATGACACATTTTTGCATAGAAAAACAGAAAAATACATCATGCCTTTTCCTGTGACCCAATACGTTTCATAGTGGACACACCATCGTACATCTCTAGCAACAGCGCTCAAGGCCTCAGTTTCCCCATGTTCTCACCACCTCTCGTGTGTGTGCCTGTGTGTGCTTTTAGCGTAGCCGCCCTGATGAGTGGGAGGCGGTGTCTCGTCGTGGTTTGGATTTGTTTTCCCGCAATGACGGGTGATGAACGCTCTTTATGTGCTCCTTGCCATTTGTGAATCTCCTTAGAGGAAATGCCTATTCATCGTCTCTGCCCATCGTATGACTGGGTTATTTCACAGTTATTGTTGCGTTATAGAAGTTTTATATGTACTAGACCTTAGCCCCTATCAGATACATGATTTGTAAATACTTTCTCCCATTCTATATGTTACTTCGGATTGTGTTTTTTGATTCACAGTTATATATTTTGATGGAGTCAAATTTATTATTTCATTGTCTCCTGTGCTTTTGGTGTTGTAGCCAAGAAGTCATCGTCAACTCCACTGTCTTAAAACTCTCCCAGGGCCAGCAAGTGGCATAGTGGTTAAGGCACTGGACTTTCATATGGTTGACCATGGTTCAAATCCCAGACCTGGAGACTTGAAACTAACACTGGGCGTGTGTGCATGCGTGCCCCAAATCCTGAGAGGAGAATGGAGAGGGATTGCTGCGTGGCCTCCCCCCAGGGGGTGATTGCTCACTTTCTCCTTCTGTCTGTAGCAAGGGCACATAGCCTATAGCAAAAATCTTTCTCTAAAAAAATCCTTTTTCTTTATGTTTTCTCCTGTTTTATAGTTTTAGTTCTTCTTTTTAAAATTAAAAAAAAAAAAAAATAGGGAACCAGCAGTTAGTGTAATGGCTATGTTGCTGGACTCCCACGTAGTCAACCGTGGTTCGCGTCCCGGACCCAGTGGCTTAAAACTCAGGCCGGGCGCATGTGCGTGCGTGCCCAAGATCCCGAGAGAATGGAGGAGAAGGGGTTGTGGTGTGACCATCCCCCTGGGGGGTGATTTCTTGTTTTCTGTCTCTCTGTCTCTCTCTGTCTGTCTGGTGAGCACACACGTCCTATAGTGAAAATCTCTCCAAAAAAAAAAATTAAATTAAATTAAATTAAAAAATTAAATCAGAGAGTTCATGGACTTACCAGAGAGAAAGAGCGAGAGAGAAAGAAAGTAAGAAAGCACCCTCCATGGGGGATGTCACGTTGCAATCCGTTCTCCTCCGTCCCTCCTCTCAGGATTTTGAGCTTGCACGCCCATGTGCCTGGTGTGTTTCTCAAGCCATTGAGTCTGGGACTTGAACTGCACACTTGGTCATGTCAGATTCAGCCGCCCCCGGCACTGTGCCACCACTGGCCCTATAGTTTCAGCTTTTACATTTAGATCTTTGATTCATTTGAAGTTATGAGATCATCGGGAAAGTTATGACGTGCTTTTATGCAAAAATGTGTCATTACTTTCCCAACCACCCAATGTTTTTTGTAAATTACATAAGGTGGAACTATACATGAACGGTTTAAACACATTTTCTTTGTGCTTCTTTTTTTTTTTTTTTACCTTTTTTTTTTTTTTTTGCACATTTTATTTATTTGTTTATTTTATATTTTTCTTTTTTTGGAGAGGTTTTTGCTATAGGACGTGTATGCTCACCAGAAAAACAGAGAGAGACAGAGAGACAGAAAGCGAGAAATCACCCCCCAGGGGGGATGGCCATGCCTCAATCCTTTCTCCTCCATTCTCCTCTTGGGATCTTGGGTACACACACACAGGCGCCTGGCGTGAGTTTAAGCCACCGAGTCCGGGACTCGAACCGCAGTCGACTATATGGGAGTCCAGCAACATAGCCATTATGCTAACTGCTGGTCCCTATTTATTTGAATTTATATTTTATCACATGTCTTTCGAGCATACATTTCTTTTTTCAACACGAATACCATGCATGTCAGTCAAGATACGGATATTACTATATGCATTACCATCAGCAAATAGCTTCTCATTTTTTGTCAATCAAGCATACTTTCAACCTGTTTTTTCCGTCCCCTTCTCCATCCCTTCCTTCCATACTAAACCTTTTTTTCTTCACATTTTATTGATTCACAAAAGATCTTAAAGTATGGACAAAGCTAGAATCTAGTGACAAGTGCACTGTAAAGTTCTTCTGAAACAATTTTTTTTCTCTCTCCATTCCTCTTTTTACTAAAGAGATGTATGAACTAACTTATTTGCAAATAAATAAATAAGTTAATCTCAATTTGTGGTGCAAGGCAACAGATACTATTCTATTACCGAACTTACACTAATAACCATTCTGCCACAAAATCAGAATGCTCACAAATACTTTCCTATTGCAAAGGGGTCAGGAAGGGAAAATAGTTTGTTTCAGTGAAAAAAAAAATTTTTTTTTTGGAGAGATTTTTGCTATAGGGCATGTGCGCTCACCAGAAAGACAGAGGCAGAGAGACAGAAAGCAAGAAATCACCCCCCAGGGGTTGGCCACACCACAATCCCTTCTCATCCTCCTCTCAGGATCTTGGGCACGCATGCACATGTGCCCGGTGTGAGTTTAAGCCACTGGGTCTGGGGCTTGAACTGCTGTCGACTACATGGGAGTCCAACAACATAATTATTAAGCTAACTGCTGGTCCCAAAAAATTATTTTTAACAATTTGGTGAACCAAACAATTCAAAGGAAAACAAAAATCCTTAAATCTGGAAGACAAAGCATAGAAGAAAATCAGTAATGCTTTAGAAAAGAGTCATAGAGGGAACCAGCAGTTGGCGTAATGGCTATGCCTCTGGACTTCCATGTAGTTGACCTCGGATCAAGTCCCAGACCTGGTGGCTTCAACTCACGCTGGGCGCATGTACGTGCGTGCCTAAGATCCCGAGAGAAGAGTGGAAAAGGGATTGCGGCATGGCCATCCTCCCTAGGGGGTGATTTCTTGCTCTCTATCTCTCTGTCTCTCTCTCTGTCTCTCTGGCAAGTGCATGCGCCCTATAGCAAAAAACCTCTCAAAAAAAAAAAAAAAAGGTCATAGAATTCTATTTTATCAGTTCAGCCTCGTGTAGTCTCACTTTGTTGAATTTGCAGTGTTACTGTGGTCTGACCTTTCCATTAACATTCAGCATTATTACTGATATTTCAGAACTTGTCCTACCATTAAGTTGGCCTTTTTCTTGGTCATTTTTTATTCTCTTATTTGTCCGTCTTTAGTTTTCCTGGTATAATACTCCCTTCAGAAATTCTCGAAGAGCTGGTCTGGTGTTGGTAAATTCTTTTTTTTTTTTAATGTATATACCACATTTTATTTATCCCTTTATATGCTTTTTTTCTTTTTCTTTTTTAAAATTTATTTATTGTCATTATAATCTTGTTTATATTACATTGAATCACATATAAATTTACAGTGTATTACATTTCTTTTGGTGTTGGTAAATTCTTTCGGGCTTTGTTTATCTGAGAATGTTTTTATCCTTTCTTCCCACGTGAAGGATAATCTTGCCGAAAACAGTATTTTGGGTTGAAATTGTTTTTCACTTAACACTTTGAATATATTTTCTCATTCTGTCCTTGCTTGCATTGTTTCCAGTGAGAGGTCCGATGTTAGCCTGATGGGATAGCCTTTGAAAGTAACTTGATGTTTTTCTCTTGCCAGTTTTAGTATCTTGTCTCTGTCTGTGGTTTTGGTCAGTCTGGCTGTGATGTGCCTTGGAGCATTTCTTCTTGGGTTGATTCTCTGTGGGGTCCTTTGTATTTTTGGGATCTGGTTATTTGAATGCCTCTCTAGGTTTGAAAGTTTTCTTCCAGGATTTCATGGAGTAGATCATCAATGCCCTGATTAGTTTCTTCCCCTCCTGGGATACCGATTATATTACCGGATGTTTGGCCGTCTAATGGTATCTAGTATTACTTGTCGTTATTTTCTCAGTCTTTTTGGTGAATTTTTCTAGGTCAGAGGTTCTGTCTTCTACATCTGAGATTTGATCTTCTGCATATCTAACCTGCTTTTAATACTTTCAAGGGAGGTTTTGATTTCCTGTATTACAGCCTTCATCTCTAACAGCTCTGATTCTTTTTTATGGTGTGTATTTCCTCTTTCAGATCATGGAAGAACTTCCTCATCTCCTGGAACTTGTTGTCTCTTTTCTCCTGCATTTTCTAGAGTTTGTTGTCTCTCTTCTCTTATATCTCTGTTAGCTTTGTCACTATGAATATCCTGAATTCTTTTTTTTTTTTTTTTTTGGAGAGGCTTTTGCTATAGGGCATGTGTGCTCACCAGAAAGACCGAGAGAGACAGAGATACAGAAAGCAAGAAATAACCCCCCAGGAAGGATGACCACATCGCAATCCCTTCACCTCTGTTCTCCTTTCGGGATCTTGGGCACGCACGCACATGCCTCCAGTGTGAGTTTAAGTTGCCGGGTCTGGGACTTGAACTGCGGTCGACTACATGGGAGTCCAGCGACATGGCCATTATGTCAGCTGCTGACCCCTGAATATCCTCAATTCTTTTTTCTTTTTTGGAGAGATTTTCGCTACAGGGCGTGTGTGCTTGCCAGACAGACAGAGAGAGACATAGAGATAGAAAGCGAGAAATCACCCCCCAGGGTGGATGGCCACGCTGCAATCCCTTCTCCTCCTTTCTCCTCTTGGGATCTTGGGCATGCACGCACGCACACGTGCCTGGTGTGA